CATAAATGACTAAGGACTGATCTGGGTAAAAAGTCACAGAAGGATTGCACAGAGTCACTTGAAAAGACTAAACTGGGTTTTGAAAGGTAAGTAGGAATGTTAGGGTGACTTAGATAATTTTTATCAAGTGGCTTATCTAACTACTTTTTATTTTATTAATTTTAATAATTTATATTATAATTAGAAAGTATAATGCATCTGAATTTCACAAAATAAACAGGAGAAGGAAAGAGGGACAAGGAATGTCAAGTCAAAGAATAGCAGGTATTTCTGTCCACAGGACTATGGAAGTTCCATCTTAAATGTTCATAGTAGGACAAGAAGCAGTGACTAATTTACAAGAAATTACTTCATATAAAAGTGATTATTTTAAAAGTTTACCATCAATTTGGCTACTTATGATTAAAATCAAAGCAAGAAGTTAGATAATACAATGTTCAAAATTGACTTCAGAGGAAAAAAATGTGCTCAAAGGAAAGTAAAGAAAAATCAAATAGAATCTTTTAGACAAGAGTTTTAATGGTTTTCTTTTAGAGTCAAAGAAAAAGGAAAAACAATTATCATTAACTCTGAAGATAAAATTATGCTTTTGATACCTTTTAAAAGCATTTTAAAGTGTTTTATATTGCTAGATTCTACAGACAAAAAGAAAAAGCCTCATATTTTAATATATAACACATATGTGCTGTTCCTTGGAATATCTAAATAATGTGTGCAATAATTTTCTATTCAAATAAATCAACCTGTTCAGAAAAATACCAGGAAAATTCAACAGTTGTGAATTATTATTTTCTCCTCAATCTTGCTTTAAATGTTGCTTGGATAATACTTTGTTTTATGAATATTTCAGTAATCAAATTATTACTATTCATATTAAAAACATAAAAGCTAAGTAAAATACACATTTGCTGCTATAAATTAATGGTTTCTAAGGAACATTTAATTTGAAGTTCTAAAATTAAATTACTTACAGAAGGAATATATTTAATAATTAAAGAAACATTTTAAAAGTAATTATATTATTCCAGTTCTCTTGAACATAGCACTAATTTCTATAATCTAAGAGTTTTCCCTGTGTTTTATCTTTTGCCATGTGCAATTTAAGACTGACACTATCTATACATGAACCAACCCAAAATGAATTTTCTACATAATACTACATAATGATTAAGGCATGGCAAACAAAACTATTGACTGGCATAAAACATGTACCTATATTATATATCATACCATCTTTTTTTTAATATATCACTACATCTTAGCTACTTTTAGCCTAACCCAGTTTACCTAATCTCTGCCCCATTGAAACTGAAAAGCTTTGTATGAGTCTACCTCCAATGTGCTATGATTTCTAAGCTAACAATCACAGCGACTCATGAGAACTGAGGATGGATGATCATGTACTAATGGATCACGTACAATTCCACTTACTGTAAAATGCTATTTATTTGTCTTTAGGACATTATTTCTAAAATAGCTTCAGTATTATTTTGGCAACTTAATATTAAGCCACTTGCATTTCAGATGTATAAATTTGTCAAGTTCACCTTATCTTTTTCATGATAACACTAAAGAACCATTTGTACTATCTCAACGTTTATGGTCAAATGCCAAATATGGTGTTGAATCTCTTCCAGATATGTTCTCCGTCTTTCTCCATCAATGCTCTGTACCAAGGAGGCTGACCTGTATGCCTTGCCTTCTGGATTCTGCTTGGGTTTGGCCAGTGAGAGGCACCAGTAGCCAATCAAGAGATGGAAGGAAAGAGAGATGGTGGTATTTATTCCCCTGGCCCCCTCTTTGCCTCGTGCAGGTGAGCAATGGCTACATGTCAATCTACAACCACAGCTCATGGTTGTTAGCCTTGTTGATTTACCTTAATTCTGCCCATATAACTACAAACAGCCCATTCATTAACTGAGTGTAATTATCAGAGTGGAGTGTGCCATTTGTTTCCTCCAGAACCTAAGTGATACAAGTAAAAAAGCAGAAAAAAGAAACACTTTCTTCTTGTTACACAGTTACTCCTTTTTATATTGTTTCAGTTTATTAGGGAAAACAATTCTTTTGAGAAGAAACTATGTTTCTTAAACATAAGGGATATAAATTCTATTTCTTTGACACCCATCAAGCCTCACAGTCCCCTCATGCCTAGAGATGAGTATAGTAATGTGCATTTATTAGGCAATCAGCAAATTGGTTTCAAACACTGAAATCTAACCTAAGTAATACCTATAAGTAATTATTTAATGATCACAACTAACTCAGTAATACCACCTGGGACAAAAAAAAAAACTCATTTAGAAAAAAACTCATATCATTAATCAAATAAAAAAGAACATACAGTAGCTTCAAACTCAAAAGCCATTTTTAAAATTTTATTTTATTTATTTATTTTTTTAGTTCAAAAGCTTTTGAAATTTCTATGGCCACCTTTGGGAATTCTCAGTGAAACTGAATAAGGCAGCTGTATAGAAAAGAGATCACACTTTTTAATCAAATACAAGTCTGGTAACTTCATATGTTTACTGAAGGGCAGAAGAATATAGTCTTCACTTGTTTAAGGTGTAAATTAACTTTTATATGTGTTTTTAAGACAATTTCTTAAGAAACAGGTGAACCTAATTAAAACATAGACTTTCCATCTCCTGAATTTTCATTGTCATTACAGAATTACACATTGGCCATCTTATAATATTTCAGTAATTGCTATAGATAGATTGGAAGGGAAAGGAACATAAAAAATAAGGCAAATAATGTTATTTACAGCAGATTCAAATAAACACTAAACTGATTTTCTTACTTATTCTTACCAACTAAGTTATAAAAACTTCTTTGCACAACTTAAAAATAGAAACTTTGTAGAAATTCAATCTTGCAGAAATTTATTTAACTTTTTATTATGTAAATCAAAGAAGCAGAGCTTTGACAAATGAAGATTAAGTACCCTATTTGTGTTGGTTAGTTTACTCTCTTTCATAAACCATAGTCCTACAAGAAGTGAGAGGAGCCTCATTCCAGGTTGAAAGACGAACTGTTTTAAGTTTGAACAAGTTAATTTCCCTGTCAGCAACCCTGTCTTACTGAGGAAAATAAGAAAGGGATCAGTAAACCTAGGCTATCAGGACATGTTATCCCAAGCACTGAAGGGAAATTCAAGGACATACACCATCTGAGACTATGGAGAAAGTTTATAACCTGCTCTGTGTATAATCCCTTACACTTAATTACTTTATAGCAAAATACTCAAGCCTCAACACCTCAGAAACATGATACTCTAGCTTGTATTGTGCCATGAAAATAATAAATAACAATAAAAATCTTTGGAATGATAAACATTTTCCATTTTGGAGTCACTAACAAAGTGCTTTTACCTATAAAGTAGAATCTAACTTATACAAAAACAAACCAAACCAAACCAAAAAACCCACAATAATTTCTTATATTAAAAAAACTTATACAATTATTAAAATTTTATAATATAAACTGTAAATAATAGATTATATAGATAATTATAATCAATACTGAGGTTTGGGAATACTAACATAGACAAACATTTCAAATATCAATTGGAATTGCATTTATTTAAGATTTTTTTATTTTTTTAATTAAAAAAATTTTGTATATTTTTTATTGGAGTTCAATTTGCCTACATATAGTATAACACCCAGTGCTCATCCCGTCAAATGCCCCCTCAGTGCCCATCACCCAGTTACCCCATCCCCCCAACCACCTCCCCTTCCACAACCCTTTATTTGTTTCCAAGAGTTAGGAGTCTCTCATGGTTTGTCTCCCTCTCTAATTTTTCCCCACTCAGTTTCCCTCCTTTCCCTTACAATCCCTTTCACTATTCCTTATATTCCACTTATGAGTGAAACCATAGGATGATTGTCCTTCTCTGACTGACTTATTTCACTCAGCATAATACCCTCCAGTTCCATCCACATCAAAGCAAATGGTGGGTATTCATCCTTTCTGATGGCTGAGTAATATTCCATTGTATACATATATGACATCTTCTTTTCCATTCATCTGTTGAAGGACTCTTGGCTCTTTCCAATTTGGCTATTGTAGACATTGCTGCTATGAACGTTGGGGTACAGGTGTCTCGGTTTTTCACTGCATTTGTATCTTTGTGGTAAATACCCAATTTACCACAGCAATTGCTGGGTTATAGGGTAGCTCTATTTTTAACTTCTTGAGGAAACTCCACACTGTTTTCCAGAGTGGCTGCACCAGTTTGCATTCAAAGTGTTATTTTTAATAGCTAAATTATAATACATTTAACCTGTAGAAAAATACTGATGATATGATGTTTAATAATAAGATAGGAATTGAATGGCAAACCAGTACCAGAATTTAAACAGTATCTATCCTTGGTTGGTTTATTATATATGATTCCTATTTTCTTCTTTATATTTTTCTGTATTTTAAATTTTATTTTAACTGAATTTAAAGTTAAAAACTATTTACTTTATCAAAAAATAGAAATTATTTGCAAATGTCATCATAAAACTATTTTGCTGACTCTTGAACTTCTAAAAGGAAAATAACCAAAAACTTTGCTTCTTAGGATCATAGATTGAGAGGGGAAATAAATAGAAGTGAAAAAAAAAATCTTAGATGCAGGAGAGTGCTGGATGGGATGGTACTGGGTGTTATACTATATGTTGGCAAATTGAATTTAAATTTTAAAAACTGTATAAACAAAACATATTTTTAAAAAGAAATAATGCCTTAATTTGAACACCTTTTTGATAAAATCTTTGCATTTTGAAAATCTCTTTAGGATTGAGTTGTAATAATGAAAGAAAGAAAATTAACTTTTTTTTTTTCCCAGACCAACAGTTTTATTGAGGGTTGACAAGAGAGCTCCCCTCCCCTCCATGGTCCTGGTGGCATGGGCCTCACTCTTGGGCACAATGTCCTGTCAGGAGAACACAGAGACAGGGTTCAGGCCCAGAGCACCTGTGGTGGGCACCAGGCCTGCAGGCTGGTGAGTAGGTCAGAGCCTGGATCTCACCCTCCATACCCATGAGTGGATGGTTAGCTGAGGCTCCTAGTGGCTCTGGGTACCAAATTTCACCCACAGCCACAGCCAAAGCCTCAGGTGATTTTTAACCAATGCAGAATAAAATTAACATCTTTAAGATACTTGATATAAGTGGCAAATAATGCTTTCAAAGAAATGCTCCCTATTGTTTAAACATATTATTTTTTCTGTGATTTTAGATTTCAAAAGTCTTAGAAAAACAAATAAAGGGGAACTGAGGGCTGATAGAACAAACTGCACAACTAGAGCTAAAGAAGAGTCCACTTTTAGGAAAGTAAAAAGTGCAGATAAGTGATTTGGTGGAGAAACCATGGGTTCTGTGGGAGGGGAGGGAGTCCTGGTCCCCAAGAAAGGTGAGAGAGTGGAGTATACAAGGATAAGCACAAGGAGAACACTTCCCCAAAGCTATTGGTCTGGGAAAACAAGAAGGGCTAAATTTCATGAGTTTTGCAACCAGCAGGGCTCAAAGATTAAGGTTTCAGAGGTCCTAGACTTGACTGTGATAGAGATCTGAGGATGCTGCCCTACTTCTGGACCAGAGGCAGGCAAACAACCTCTGGGCAGACTGTGAGATCTGAGGATCACCTGAGGGACACAGGAAAAACTGTTCTTTTTGGATAACATCGGTGAGAGGTGGCATTGCCTCTCTGAGGACAAAAGAACCAGCAGAGGCCATTTCCTTCCCTGGCCCCTCAGCGTAGGTGCAGAGACTCCTATTGAGGGCAGCTAACCAGGACACTGGCAGTTTAGCCATATTGCTCCAAATCCAATGCCCCTGCACTCTGGCACAAATGCCCTTCTGGGACAAACCTGCATCAGTCTCAGTTCAGTAAGACCCTTTCTCAAAGGGCCAGTGCAGGTCCCCATCACACCAGACCCTAAAGCTTGGAATTTTAAGAGAGTGTAGAGCCCAAGGTACAATGCATTGTAGTAGACCAGCAAGCAACACAGAGACTGACAGTGTGAAATCAACAATCAGAATAATGCCTGTGATGCAGGAGAGGAAATTATTCACTGTGTGGAAGTGTTTCCCCCAGAGCAGCAAACACAAACTTCCCTCTCCAGCGACAAAGGAGCTAGTTGATGCCATTTATCTGCCCTGCCCTTCAGCATAAACTAACATCAGTAAACATCACAACACCAACACTGGCTGCCTAACCTGTTTATACCAAGCCCACCTCTAGTTCAGCTGATACTGCTTTTCTAGAGCAAGTATGCCTAATGACCAGCACAGTGGGCCCCTCCCCAAGAAGACCAGCACAAACCTCTATATGCACCATGTCTACTGACCCGAGAGTTTTTCAGAGCTCCAGCTCTATTGGAAATAGCACCAAGTCTCTTAGCAATCAGACCAGAACACACCTAGTTAAAACTCACCATACTCTGGCCACCGTCGAAGCACTCCCCGCTACAGGCAAAGGGAGACTCTGCAGAGGATTGACCAAGGAGGTAGAGAAACCATAACACAGCAGAGTGCATACAACACACACCAAAGACACTTTCTGAAGTGCCAGGCCCTGGATATTATACGACCTCTTCTTCAAAGAGCCATTACTGGGATCCCTGGGTGGTGCAGCAGTTTAGTGCCTGCCTTTGGCCCAGGGCCTGATCCTGGAGACCCCAGATCGAGTCCCACATCAGGCTCCCTGCATGGAGCCTGTTTCTTCCTCTACCTGTGTCTCTGCCTCTCTCTCTCTCTCTCTCTCTCTCTGTGTGTGTGTGTGTCCCTCATGAATAAATAATATATTTTTTAAAAAAGCCATTATTCTTAAGAGCAAGATACATAAGAGGCTTTCCTAACACGGAGAAGAAGGCAGAGACTTAGACAAAATAACAGGATGGAGGAATTCATTCTAAAAGAGAACAAGAAAAGGTGATGGTGAGGGATCTAACCAAAACAGATATAAGTAATATATCTGATCCAGAATTTAAAACAAAAATCATAAGGATACTAGTTTGGCTTGAAAAAAAAGCATTGAAGACATCAGGTGGATGCTTACCACAGAGACAAAGGAGCTAAAAATCAATCAGGCCAAAGTGCAAAATGCAATAACCAAGATTCAAAATCCATGAGTGAAAATATCAGTGAGGATGACTGAACATGAGAGACTCCTAACTCTGAGAAATGAACAAGGGGTAGTGGAAAGGGAGGTGGGTGGGGGGTTGGGGTGACTGGCTGACGGGAACTGAGGGGGACACTTGACAGGATGAGCACTGGGTGATATGCTATATGTTGGTAAATTGAACTCCTAATTAATTAATTAAAATAAAACAAAACCCACTGGATGTAATGACCACAAGAATGGAAGAGGAAAAGGAATAAAAAAATGATAAAGAAGATAGAATTGAAAAATATAGAAAATAATGAAGCTGAACAAGTGGTAAAGAAAAACCTTCCAAAAATCATGGAAGTAGACTTAGGAACTGAGTGACTCCATCAAGAGTAATAACATTCATGATACAGGAGTCCCAGAAGAAGAAGAGAGAAATGGGGGCAGAAGGTTTGTTTGAGGAAATTATAGCTGAAAATCTTTCTAATCTGAGGAAAGAAACAGACATCCAAATCCAGGAAGCAAAGAGAACTCCCATCAAAATCAACAAAAGTCGGCTAATACCAAGACCTATTCTAGTTAAATTTGCAAAATACAGAAGTAAAGAAAAAAATCCTAAAAGCAGCAAGACAAGGGATGCATACAAGGGAAGACAAATAAGTTTTGCTCCAGATATCTCCATAGAAACTTGGCAAGCCAGAAAGAAGTGGCATGATATATTCGACATGCTGAATGGGAACAAATATGTAGTCAAGAAAACTGTATCCAGCAAGGCTGTCATTCAGAATAGGAGAGATCAAAAATTTGTGATACAAAATCTAAATGAGTTCACGACCACTAAACCAGCCCTGCGGGAAATATTAAAGAGGACTCTTTAAGGAGAAAAGAAAGACCAAAAGTGACAAAGACTAGAAAGCAACAGAGAAAATCTCCAGAAACAATGACGAAACAAGAAATAAAATGCCACTAAATTCATATCTATTAACAATCACTCTTAATGTAAATGGACTAAATGCTCCAATCAAAAGACATAGGGTATCAGAATGGATAAAGTACATAGCCCTGCAAGATGCTGCCTATAAGAGACTCATTTTAGATCTGAAGATTGAAAGTGAGGGGATGGAGAAAAATATACCATGCAAGTGGATGTCAAAAGAAAGCTGGAATAACAATATTTATATTAAACACACTAGATTTTAAACCAAAGACTATAAGAAGAGATGAAAAAGGGCACTATATCACAATAAAGGGGTCTATCCAGTAAGAAGATCTACCAATTGTAAATATTTATGCCCCCAATTTGGGAGCACCTAAATATATAAAACACTTAATAGCAAACATAAAGGAACACATTGATAATAATGCAATAATAGTAGAGGACTTTAACAACCCCCTCACAGCAATGGACAGATCATCTAAGCAGAAGATCACCAAGAAAATAAGGACTTTGAATGATACACTGGACCAGATGGACTTAACAGATATCTTCAGAACATTTCATCCTAAGCAGCAGAATATACATTCTTTCAAGTGCACATGGGACGTTCTCCAGAATAGATGACATACTAGGTCACAAATCAGACCTCAACAAGTACAAAGTTGAGACCATATCATGCATATTCTCAGACCACAACACTAAGAAGTCACTTTGAAGTCAACCACAAAAAGAAATCTGGAAAGATCACAAATTTATGGAGGTTAAATAACATCCTACTAAAGAATGAATGAGTCACCAGGAAATTAAAGAAGAAATAAATAAAAATGCATGGAAACTAATAAAAATGAAAACACAATGGTCCAAAACCTTTTGGGTGCTGCAAAATTGGTCATAAGAGGACAGTATATAGCAATGAAGACCTCCCTTAAGAAGCAAGGAAAATCTCAAATAAGTATAACCTTACACTTAAAGAAGCTAGAGAAAGAACAACAAATGGAGCCTAAACTCAGCAGAAGAAGGAAAATAATAAAGATAAATGATATAGAAACAAACAAACAGTAGAACAGATCGATGAAACCAGGAGCTGCTTCTTTGACAAAATTAATAAAAATGATAAACCCTTGGCCAGACTTATCAAAAAGAAAAAAGTACTAAATAAATAAAATAACAAATGAGAGAGCAGAAATAACAACCAACACCACAGAAATATAAGCAATTATAAGAGAATATTATGAAAAAATTACATGCCAATGAATCACACAATTTAGAAGAAATGGATAAATTCCTAGGAACATATAAACTACCAAACTGAAACAAGAAATAGAAAATTTGAACATACCCATAACCAGCAAGGAAACTGAATCAGTGATCAAAAATCTCCCAACATACAAAAATCCAAGGCCAGGTAGGCTTCACCGGGGAATTCTACCAAACATTAAAGAGTTAATATCTCTTCTGCTCAAACTCTTCCAAAAAATAGAAATGGAAGGAAAATTCCCAAACTCATTCTGTGAAGCTAGAATTATCCTGATTCTGAGACCAAAGACTCCACTAAAAAAAGAGAACTTACAGACCCACAACCTGATGAATATAGATGCAAAAATTCTTACCAAAATGCTAGAAGATCGAATCCAAGATACATTAAAAGAATCACTCACCATGATCAAGTGGGATTTAAGGTGGTTTAATATTTGCAAATCAATCAATATGATACACCACATTAATAAATGAAAGAAAAGAACCATATGATCCTCCCAATAGATGCAAAGAAAGCATTTGACAAAGTAAAAAATCCTTTTTTAAACCCTTAACAAAGTAGGGAAACAAGGAACATAACATAATAAAGGTAATATGTGAAGGATCTGCAGCTTATATCCTTAATGAGGAAGAACTGAGAGCTTTTCCTCCATGGTCAGGAACAACACAGAAATGTCCACTCTCACCTCTTTTTTTTAACCAGTACTGGAGATCCTAGCCTCGGCAATCAGACAACAAAAAAATAAATAAAAGGCATCCAAATCAGCAAGGAAGAAGTCAACCTTTCGCTGTTTGCAGACAACATTGTATTCTATATAGAAAACCCAA